TAAGGGCAGAGGGTGGGGTGGGAACCGGGTGGAGGGGAGTTATGGGGGAAAAAGAGGAACAAATGTAATAATCTGAACAATAAAGATTTAATTATAAAAAAAGGAAAGATCTAAATGAGTCCAGGCAGTCCCAAACAAGAGAAATAGGACAGACTAATCTATAATGGCACATACTTCTGCCACCCCAAATACCCCTGCCCGAGCCTGAGCTACAGCCCCTGCAGAGTGTGATAGGAACAACTCAGGGCCAGGCTGCATTAGCCCAGGCCTGCAGTCTCAGGTTTGCTTCTAGATGACTTCGAGCAAGGGCCTGGCCCTCTCTGGGCCTCAGTGTCCTCAGCTGAAACACGGAGCTGGACTAGATCAGTGCTTCTCAACCTTGGGGTGGAATACACAGATATTCCCTTTCTAGAGCAAACATTCCAATATAACCAGTCCCTGAGAAGATATCTTTGGTCAAATTGCAACTCCCACCCCCAGATCTGCATGTCCTCCATTTTCAGAATTGAACATAGGCTATGAAAACATCTTCCAATTATGAATTATAGCTGCTTTTATAAGTGTAAGGAAAGCTGTGTTCAGATTACCATCAAAATAAGAACATAAAAGCTCAATTTTCAAAGAACTTGTGACCCTCGAGAATATATCAGCAGACCCCCTCCCCGAGTTGCACAAATCCTAGGCTGAGAATGACTGGGCCAGATGTTTTCCAACATACTCTGTGCCTATGGCTACTTTTTTGGTCTCTTGGCTGTGCATATACTTACTTCCATGGACCCAGACATCCCCCCTCTCCCTGTCCCTTCCTGTAACGTTCAGCACCTCTAGCAGGCTTGATAGGCCCCTCACTTCCATGCCAAGGCCCCCAGAGCAGGCATATGATCAGATGTCAGCTTGAGGCCCCACCTTTCACCCTTCATTAGGTTGGGATCCTATCTCCTGGGCCAACCCCAGGGAGCCACCATATCCAGCGGAGGAAATGGAGAGGGGCCTCTAACATGAACCTTCTGCTGCCCTTAGATCCACCTCTGCGTATCTCCTAGAACACAGCCTTTGGATCCCTGAAGCCACTTCTGGTTCCATGGACATCACTCTCCTTTCCTTGTCAGGTGAACTCACCTGAGGAAGAGGAAACTTGTTCTACAGGTGCTGATGAATTGAGAGAGAGGGGGTGGGGTGGATAAGAAGCCAAGCATGGCCATCCTATCTATTTATCTCTTTCCTCTGAGAGGCTGCAGTATGCATGGAGAGCCCTGGACTAGCCCAGAGGGCAGGGTTGGGAGGATCCAAGACAGGCACTGGACACTGGAGAGACCAAAATGCCTGGCATCTGTTAGGGACTTGCTGCCTTACGACCTCACCTCCCTGGATACCAGTTTACTTATCTAGGAATTGGGCAGGTTCCCAGTTGTTGAGAGGATTGGAGGAGGTTGTGAGTGACAAGGCCCTTTGGAAACTATAAAGTGCTATGCCCTGAACACATGTGTACATGTACATGAAAGCATTCACCCCAGCAAACTTTGGACCCCTCCCATTTGTTGCTAATGCTTGCACTTGAGTATGCATCAGAATGACCTGGAGGGCTTGTTAAAACACAGATTGCTGGGCCCCACCCCAATCCCTGATTCAGTCAGACTGGGGCAGTGCCCAGGAATTTGCATTGCTAAAGAGTTCCCAAGTGATGCTGATGCTGCTGGTCCTGAGACCACAGTTGGAGAACCATATGCAAAGGGTTTCACATCTACCATGGTATCTGCGTATGTTCTTGCTATGTGTTTTTCTCTTGGTCACAACTACTCTGAGCCACAGGCATTCCCAGTTCCCATAGGGGCCTGCCAGAGGGATCTCTTAGAGGCCTTGCTCTGTCTCCCACGTAGCCTGTATTCAGAGCATGAGAGAACAATTGAAAGGTAGCAAGCCCTCCCAACACACATCAGTCATATTCACAGATACAACCATTGCGTGTGTGTGCGTGCACACACACACACACATACATACACACACACTCATCTCACACCTGTATAACCTAGTGGCTAAATACAGACTCATGAACAAAACTGCCCAAATTGGCCAGCTCCCCCACTTCCTAAAGTACGACCTTGGACAAGTCACTTCACATCTCAGTGCTTCAGTTTCCTCACCAACAAAAATAAGGGTAATAACACTGCATAGGGTAGTTAAGAGACTCAATGAGATGATGAATGGAAATCTCTTGGAAGAATGCTATTATTATAATTTTTAGAAGTGGGCTTCAGGCCCCTAAAGGAAGCTCAATGGGAGGGGGAAACTCAGGGCAGGCCATAACTATTAACAAATTCCCTTGGGTCAAAACAGCTTCTGGGTTTGACCATGATTCCCTTGGGAGGCAGGAGATCTGGACTCCAGTGCCAGTTGTTTCTGACTCACTTTCTGTGTGTCTTCAGGTGAGTCCCTTGCCATCCCTGGGCATCAGCATCCTCATCTGTCCCATAAGGGCTGAGCTGATTGTTGGTCAGGGCTTTCTTCCAGCTCCGCCACATGGTGGGTTCATGCCCAGTGGTGCATGGCAGAGGCAACAGCCACAATGCCACAGGCCCAGCCCATGGGCCAGTTTTGTTCTTGCTGGAGCTCAGATAAACTGCTATCCTCCCTGAGCAAGAGACTGTCAGCAACTCTCCCATGGCTGACTCCTCTACTCACTGCTCAGGTGCAAAGAGCCCTGGGGCCACCAGAGGCCCGGTAAGGAATATCAGAGAGAAGATTCATGATAGCCCCTGTACCGCTGGACCCTGCCTGTAAGACTAGAAAGCCAGTTGTGTCCATCTACTCACAACAGCTGGGGGTGAGAGGCAAGGAGCACAAAAGATGCTTGAGTTCCAGAATCTGTGCCGGGATCCCTAGTCTTCATGTACATCTCTCAGTGAGTCAGGAGCCCTTGGAAGTGGATACCCATTGTTCCTAGTTATCTCTGTGCCCCAGTGCCCAAGGTACCAGGACATGAACCCCAGACTATCAGATTCCAAGTCCAGTGGCCTGGGCTGTGAAAGCCTGTGGGAGTAAGACACGAGAAAAGTCCCCATATTACTTCTGCTTTCCGTCTTCGCGTTTTTGCTTAAACTGACACTTTCCCCATAAATTCTCAAGCCAGCCCCACCTCACAATCCCGATTTCCCTGTTGTGCTCAATTTTCTCTTTTCTGGAGCTCTTATCACCTTCTAGCATAAAATATATTTGCCTTATTGTTTATAGTGTATCTCTGAGGCCTGGAAGCTTTGTCCATGCTGTGTATTGTGGTATCTCCAGTGCCTACAACAGTGCCTAGTGCTCAACAGATATTAAGTGAAGAAGTGAAGTGTGCGCTAGGAGCTCAGAATGGTGGTGAAAACTACCTCTTAGTTGATCTCCTTGCCTCTGCCCTCCACACTGCTCTAAGTGGATGACTTTCCAAAATGCCAACCTGACCATGTTCCTCCCCTGTCTCTAACCCCTTCAGGATTCCACATAACCCCTGCCCTCTGACCAGAACAGATTATTTGCAGCTTCTCCAAATTGCCCTGGTCTTCTCTGCCTTTGTGCCTTTGCCCACATGATGCTGTCTGCTCTCCAGCACATCTGCCACCTAGAAAACTCTTTTTTTTCTCTAAGCATGTTTTTTTTAATTAAATATTTAGGGTTCAGATTATTACAGTTGTTCCTCTCCCCCCCATATCTCCCCTCCAACCGGTTCCCACCCTACCCTCTGCCCTTACCCTCCCACACTGCCCTCATCCATAGGTGTACGATTTTTGTCCAGTCTCTTCCCGCACCCCCACACCTCCTTCCCCCCAAGAATTGTCAGTCCACTCCCTTTCTATGTCCTTGATTCTATTATATT